CTCGGAGATCGCTAGCAAAGATATTATGATAACTTTGCATCTTTCTCTCTGTAAAAATAAGTTAGACTTTTTCTGGTTATTAGATTTTAAATAGATTCACTTTACATAATTAACACATTATTTCCGTTCATAAACATAGTTCAAGAAAACTATCTTGGCCATTATATTAAAAAAAATATCATTTTAAACTTATAAAAATATTTTACTAGTTGGCGAAAATGACACTATAAATACTTTATTTTAAAAAGTTAAGTTTTAACTTTAATTATTAAGAAAAGCATATATCGACACTTTTTTATCTACATAATCTTTGATAACTATAAGTTGGGTTAAATTTAGAATCCTGCCGTTAATAGCAATTTGTTCATATTTAGTCATTAGGAAACATCAACCTTAAACGCTAATTACAGAAACAAAATAATAGTTTAGGTTCATAATGATATTTGAAATTTTACAATTGTTATTGATACTTAAATTTAAGATAATATAATTTATAGATATTTAAATTTAAGATAATATAATTTTTAAAAAAAATCATAAATATTTAGAATAACTACATTAAAAAATATGTAATGAAATTAGGAGAATTTTAAATACATATTTCATTTATGCTTTTTATTTACGCTTTAATTTTCTTTGACTTTATCCATTTTTAATTTTTTCGCCTGCCTTTCTTTTTGAACTAACGAGGCGGTTTCTATTTAGATGGTACATTTCTATAAAAGTTCTTAACGATAGAATAAACGTACTATTGCTGTTTTATATTAACCGCGTCATTTTGTTCTCAATTCGTTGAATCCATTCTTTGTTCATTTACTTTAGGGAACACGGAGAAAATTATATTTTTTCCTTTTGTGTTCAGAATTTTTGCAAGTTGCAATCGCGCAAACTGGCATTTCATTAATAGTTTTAAATTTTTGTAAATTCACTGCAATAAACAGAGGAAAATCATTTTATAAATGCTCCAATATTAGTTAGAGCTAGTTGGACCGAACCCTCCGTTCATGAAGTAAAAGTGCAAGCTTCGCGCCACAGTGACGTCACTGGAGAAAATCGGAGGTTTGGCGCGGCGAGAGTTTCTTCAAAGGAGTGAACCAGCCCTTCTATTCTCTTTAGCCTTGGCTTCCACCGACCACAGTGCTGACGTTATATATCCTCAGTGGCAGACGGATCATGGGTGTGAGTCTCCTTGCCGTTAGGCTAACCGTGGGAGGTTCTCCCGGTCTTTCTCTTCATGTAACGCTCCATGCTTTCCATGTAGAATGACTAAAGCTGCAAATTACTAATGAATTTTGCTTTCAGAAAAACATATAGTCTCAAAACGTTTGCTTTCTACTGTACGCATACAAAATAAAATATCGAGTCTTTTTATAATAAATCATAGTTTCCTTTTAATTCCAAACCACAGATGATCTCTCACAAGGAATCATAAATATTCAATACATATTCCAATAAAAAAAAATTATTTTTAGACTTTAATCATTCATGGTAATAATTAAAAAAGCTCCCCGATGACGAAGGGACAGATAATTTCACTTTTTAATGACTCCCGTAGTCCAAGGTCACACGGTAGGCGTTTGGAACGTTTTATTTCAATTTTTTAAACTACACTAGATGACTTCTGAAGCCTTTTATAATTTTGCCTCATAATGCTCTTTTTTCAATTTCGACTTTTTTAATATTATATATATATATAT